CCCTAATGGGCCCCTAACGGCCCCCCCAACGGCCCCAATGGGCCCCTAACGACCCCCCCAACGGCCCTAATGGGCCCCTAACGGCCCCCCCAACGGCCCCAATGGGCCCCCCAACGAGCCCCCCAACGGGCCCCTAACGGCCTCTGCTGGGGAAAACAGAAAAAGGAAAAAAACTTAAAAAATAAAAATGAGGGGAAAATATCAAAAAGGAAAATGGAAAACAAAAATCAGCAGGAAGAATAAAACGTCCCTTCTCTCTGTGAGCTGAATCTGCGTCTAGAATCCATTAAGAGCTGCAGGAGTAAAACTGCGAGGCGGATCTGATGCAGCGTCCTGCTGCCATTAACTCATTCATTACCTCCTGACATTCTTCCTCTGCACTGGCTTACGTTCATTCTTAGAGATGCGCTCGTTATACACAAGATGAAAAGTCTCTGCAGTCACTAAGCATCAAAACACAAGAATCCATTTAAACCTCGTTGGGAGGCAGACAGAGGAGGAGGGATGCCCACCTGCAGCTGCCGACTGGCTCCAGGACTTCCCTGACCTGTGAGGAAGACGAAGCATTAAAGCTCAGCAGATGGAAACGACTCGCCATGCAGGCGCTTCAGCTGCTGCTGGCCCACAGAGAGCAGGGTTTACCTGCTTAGGAGACCCATCATTCTTCTTCTCTTTGGACTTTGATGACCTTGAATTGTTGAACAGAAAGTTGAGATAAAAAAGAATGTGAGAAAAGACAAATACTGTTTCTTTTAAACAATGTTTAGTGTAATGGGGCCTCAAAGGCAGAAACAATCTGAGCTTTTATTCAAACTTTTATGTCGTTTATTCAGATCAGATCTAAACTGGACCTGGGGATTCTGACCACTTCAGGCTGGACCTCAGGGTGTCCTGGTCAAAACTTCAAACCAAACATGGATACAGTCTGTGTTCTGTGTGACCATCCAAATATGCTGCTTTTATTTTGAAGGAGAACTTCCTCTACTTCCAGTTCTGAGCACAGCGGTCTCCCTCTCATTGCAGCTGCAGTTTGTTACCCAACAAACAGCTCTGGAAACATTTAAGCCACCTGGAAAATGCAGACGTTCTCTGGTTGGAGTGTTTAGTTTGAACATCGTAAGCAGAGCGCTGCTGGGTGACGGCTGCGTTCTTCTTCTGCGGGTCACTTTGGGGTCGTAAACTGTTCAACCTGAAGTCCGACTGCAGTTGCATTTAATGAGAATCATGAACGACAAAAAAAAATCATAATTCGTGAAAAAAGGAAAAAGAAATTGCAGTAGATGTGCTAACGTAGCCTCAGCTACCTGGCTCTGATGCAGCTTCTGGGTTTGGACCTCGTCAGTGACGGTCAGAACCTGATGATTCTCTGAATCAGTCTACGGTTCAGTTCTGGTGTGTTTTACCCTCAAGTTTGATCCAGACCAGCCAAGGAGCTTCAGGTCGACTTATTTTGGTTTTTTGCTGCATAAATCAAAGGACTTTGAGCTGCAAATAAAAGGTTGAAAGTTTTTAGTCGCTGGCTGACTGCTGTCTCTGTTTTAGTCAGGCGGTTTTGGGAAATGTGCCCCGTTAACTAGCAGGGTCTCAGCAGATTAACACCGTTTCCATGCAGATCGACGTGACTCCCAGCTGGATTCATTATTCTTATTCTGTGTTTTTTTAAAGCTAAGCTCAGACAGAAGCAGGATCAGAGGCGTGAAACAACACGAAGCAAGCCGTCAAACAGCCTGCCACTCCCAGGGCCAGCCACGCTTACAGGTGTCTGTTCATCCCTTCGCTCTCATCAATTACACGAGCCAATGACGGATCGCTCCGCTCCCATTTCTCTGCTCACATATGCATGTTAATAAACACGTCTGATATCAAGTAAATTAATTTATTCATATGAAGCGTTCACTGTACAATGTGTAATGAATGCCACCGGCCCTCCTGACACATTCTCTCTCTTACACTTTGTGTCTTTCATTTAGTCACACACACACACACACACACACACACACACACACACACACACACACACAGTCATATAAATGATCTTATTTATCAGCAGTTGAAGTACCGAGCCGCCAGAGTTAATTTGTCTCTCCTTCTGAGCAACATGAAAGGCTGAGCTGAGCGTTGATGTGAGCCGGGTGAAGCTGCAGATGTTGGACGAGCTGCAGATGTTGGACGAGCTGCAGATGTTGGACGAGCTGCAGATGTTGGACGAGCTGCAGATGTTGGACGAGCTGCAGATGTTGGACGAGCTCATTGGTCTGATAATGGTTCCAGTCTCTAATGGTGGACTGATGATTCAACACAGGCAAGACGTCCTTTATGTTGCTACCAGCAGCCGTTTTCATCTAATTGTTATGCAAATCTTAAGCAAACGTTTAAAATGTCACAATGTCTGCTGGTTTGGAGTGAATCCACCAAGACACGCAGAGCGTAATGTCATCAGGTGTTGACGCTGCGCATGGCTGTAATAAACAGGAAGTAGAGCCTGGAAGCTAGCATGAACTCATCTCAGAAATATGAGTCTCTTCCCAGCTGGAGGCTTTCAGAGTTTGGTGTCTCTGGTAAGGCAGGCAGAGTTTCCAACATCAGAACTTATTCAGCAAATGTTTCCATCTCCTGCTAGCACATTAACTCTTTTTGGAAAACCCAAAAACAGAAAATCCTTTTAGCTAAATTGAGGAAATCATTTTGCATGACAGAGACATAAACCGAGCTGTACTGCTGGAACAAACAGCAACATTCAACTGCAGTAGCCACTGCTCAACCCAAAGAGGGCAGCACTGAGAAGGTTTTAGGCTAAATATTGCAGAATTAAACAAATTTACACAAAAATGTCAATTTGCACAGAAACATAAAGACAGAACACTTAAGGATCATTTTAGACATTTAATGTTAATCTGATGTTTAGTTTCTAAAACCTCAAATCTAAAGGTAATAAAAAAGTTTATTATTTTAACATAAATCTGAAATAATTTGAATATATATATACTGCTCAAAAAAATAAAAGGAACATTTCACTTTAATTATGTGTGTGGCTCCAAATCCAGGCCTCCATTGGTTAATAAATTTGATTTCCATTGATGATTTTTGTCTGATTTTGTTGTCAGCACATTCAACTTTGTACAGAACAAAGTATTCAACGAGAATATTTCATTCATTCAGATCTAGGATGTGTTATTTGAGTGTTCCCTTTATTTTTTGAGCAGTGTATATATATATATATATAAACAATATTTTTGTCACTAATTTCAGAAAGAGAAAGAAAATTTCAGAAATATTTCCAGCCTCTGACATTTTGATGATTATGATTTAGAAACTATTTTAAAAAATCTAATTCACCGTCTTAATAACAGCATGCAGAGGTTCGAGCCGCCACCGGGTCAGTCTGGGTCAGGAGGACAATCAGGAGGAAGACAGATGACTGGACATCTGCCACTGAAATAAAATATTTAACCGTTTCTATTCTTATGTACGAGATAAACCTTATTGTGATTTTAGACACTGTGGAAGTTTTGCTGTGTGTACTCTGTTTTCCTAAAGCTTTTGGCATTTTGTACGTAAACTATGGGCAAAAATTACATCAGAATTTCGGATTTTAAAATGCTGTAACAATCATTTTTAACCTAAATAAATCACGAGCGAAAACAGTTTGAGTTAAATAATTGTGAAAACGTTTTTAAGGTGAACACACACACACACCTTTTCTTTATCAGATCTCCACCGGAACCGGCATTCTCACGGTCACTCAACCGTTTCAGCTTCGTCCCTTTCTGCTTCAACTTTGCATCTCCTTTAGCGTCACTTTCTCTTCCCATTTTACCACAGTGTCTGACAGAGAATATTTACAGATTAGCTTTGTAACAAAAATACATTTAAATATACAAGAATATTTAAACACACACCCAAAATAAGCAGATTAAATATCCATAGTAGCTAAATTTGACAATTAGCTTCCAAGATGTAGCCACTTAAAACAAACATTGACTGATTAATTAAAACAGATGACCACAAATGTCTTTTACTGCCAAACAGAAATAAATTTAGAGTTAACTCACTCACCGTTTGGAAGACTGACAAAAATTGGGTAATATAGGCTGTTTTCCGCGTAAAACACAAACTTTAAATCAGCGTTTCCTCTGACGGTTAACCATGCAGGCGACTGTCCCAGCTGAACTCTGATTGGTCCGTTTGAGTGGCGGTCAACTGCTATACCTGCATGTGAACACTGGGGGAGCTAGAGGGCTCAAGGTGAGAACCGGAAGGGGCGGGGACCGAAAGGTTTTGGTTTACATTTCTGCTGCAGACTTGAAATAGTTTTGATTTGAAATGGAATGTATTTGACTCTATTGGCTTCCTCCTCATAAGCCACGTGCTTTAAATTAAATTATTTTGTATTTGTGTTTATTTAATCTGGAAGATGCTCCAAGCCTCTTTTTCAAAGGAGACATTTGAAAGTTTTTTTTCAGAAGCTTCAGCATTTAGTGAAACACTTTATATAGACTATTTACACACAGATGGATGTTTCAAAGCCACTGTTTCTGCTAATTATGATGTTTTTCCACTTATAGTTAACAAAAACTAAAGGCACAATTCTTGTGATTTTTTTTCTCTGAGAATTTTGATTTTGACCTAGAAATAAAATGGGGAAAAAAATTCTTTCATGGTGGAAAGATTGGTAACTTTGTTGCCTCACAGCAGGAAGGTCCTGGGTTCAAATCCCAACCTGGGATCTTTCTGCGTGGAGTTTGTGTGTTTTCCATGTGAGTGTGGGTTCTCCCTGGGTACATGACTTTCTTTCACAGTCCAAAAACATCAGCGTTAGGTTAATTGGTGCTGTCTTTTAGCAAATCAGTTTTTCTTCTGGGAATAATGAAACTAATTCTTGTCATTATGGAGGCTTTATTTCTTATAAAGAATACTTTTGAAAGATGTGTTAGAAATGGCTAAATTCACTGCGAATAAGATACAATAGAAATAGTAACTGACTTACAAAGATGACATTCAGGTGTAACAGCAACTTCGAGATTATGTTCACATAAAAGTTCCGAAAGTGTTGAAATTTTGCTTAGCAAAATAACCAGAATACAGCTACAAGTTCTTGTTGGGGTAAAATGAGCGCTGTCTCTTTAAGAGACCCGGAAACAATCCTTTCCAGTGTTTGTTGCTGGGGAGTTGACGGACAGCTGCGCGGGGACGATGATATCTAACCCGCTGACTCGGGCTGTCCGGAGCAGAGTGCGGTTCTGGAGACACCGAGCTGTGTTTAAAGTTCTTCCAGAGGCCTCAGGTGGCGGCAGCCGGCGCTGGTACTCCGCTCCGAGTCGAAGGGGGGTCTCGGTTATGGAGGAGATCCTGGCGAGGGTCGTTGCACCTTTACCTTCATATGAAACCAGAGATAAATCTCCACCTCCGCCCGAATCCACCAGCTTGGAGTTCATGAACTACTACAGAGGTCTGGAAAAGGAAGACAAAGTCGATTTTCTGTCCAAGCTGTCCCAGGAGTGCGGAGTGGACCATAAAACGGTGTCAGAGCTCGCTACGAAGCTGCTGGACACTCAGCGACGGGACCAGGCGACCATATTGCAGGCGGAGGACAGGCTCCGGTACAGCCTGACGCCGCGCTACAAGCAGCTGTTCAGCCATGTGAGCCGGGTCGAAGGCGGGGTGAAGTTCCTGGTGGACCTCCGAGCGGATCTGCTGGAAATACTCACGTCCAAAGCAAGCGAAAACCCACACATCAGGGTAGGATCTTTGTTTACTTTCTGTACGGGTGCCCGAATGGCTCAAACTCCAGCATGCGCGTTTATTCACTTGGCTGTGAAGCAGAAATATGAAATGACTGGAACGGAGTAGCTGGAATGGAGTGGCTCGTGTTACCCGTGGTTACATGAGTCACGTGGTTCTCATTTGATGTGACCTTTGCCCCAGTTGGACTTCTCAGAAACCCTTCACCTCCAAACTTCTACATGATTCAATTCAGACACACATTTAGTGTCAGTATTCCTTCCATTCTCTTTATTTTGGTTTGAAGCGATAGATCATGACAAAATAAAGCAGAATTATGACTTTTTTTTAAACAAATAAGAATCTGAAAAGTGTGGCAGACATATGCCCTCATCCCCTCTAACATATTACTTTGTAGAACTACGTTATGGTCTATTTGCAAAATAGTTTTTAAATAATTTAAACCTGGACTTTGGCTAGGTCATTCAAACACATGAATCAGCTTTGATCTAAAACCATCCCATAACATCTTTGGCTTGTATTTAAGGAGGTTGTCCTGCTGGAAGGTGAAGCTCCACAACAGTCTCGGGGTTTTTTCAGTACATAAACGTTTTTCTTTCAGGATTGTCCTGGATGTACATCCTTCCATCAACTATGACCTGCTACCCCACAGCATGATGCAACCACCACCGTGTGTCATTCTGGGGATGAATAGGTGCAGACAGAGGCGGGATTTTGGCTGGAGAGGCCTTCAGTCTTTTATCCGATCAAACAACAGAGAATGGAACCTTACTTTTCAAACAAAAGAACGAAAAAAATCTGTCAACCTCTGATATATATATATATAAATATATATATGTGTGTGTGGGGGCTGGGCTAGCTGAACAGATTACATTTGGGTACCAATCAGAGCCTCTTTCCTGTGCTGCAGGAGCCACAAAGGAAAGCGATCCTTTAACAATGTTAGATTCAGCACATGAGGAGGCAAGAGCTACTCTGCTGCTTGTACAAATTGAATATAAATCAGGCATGTAATGAGTATTTTGAATGAATTTTTTGAAGGCAGAGTGGATTCAAAGAAAAGGTAGTGAAAGAACAAAAAATAAATTTCTGCCGCAGTCGGAGACATGACTCCAGTGGGTTTTTTCTCTTAATTTTCCCTTTTTTGGCAGCTCTCCCTTTTTCCTAGAAAAGCTGCTCTCATATTCTGGATTGTTCAGTTTAATGTAATTACAGTTTTCACTTTGACTCTGCAGAGTAGGCTCGCTGGCATTTATTGAATGCGCTGAGTGACTTAGAAATACAAATAAACTCAGCTGTTAACCCGAAACTACCACTAATATATTTCATAGCATTTATAGGAAAACATTTAAGTTACACTGTCTAAGATAAAATTATAACTGGAGACATACAAGTACATATCTGAACATGTGCAGTGGAAAAAAGGATTTTCCTCCTTTTTTGACACGTTTAAAAGTTTCAGATCATCAAAAATCTTTATCACACAAAGATAACCCGAGTAAATCCAAAAGGCAGCTGTCAAGTAATTATATGAGATGTTTTGAGACGTTCTGTATCTGCCAACAGCAGCACAAGACGAAGAAAAATAAGCCTCCCAAGCTTATTTCCATTAAAATTTAAAAAGTTAACAGTAGGGCAGACTTCCAATTAATTAATTACAAAGATTTCAAAGTGTTAAAAATTTTAGCGTAATTGTTTTTTTCATATAAAGTTTCTGTCCAGAACCATTATATTTGCTTGTTTCTAGTACACCTTTAAATCTGATACACAAGCAATATCTGCTAACATCTGCTAACTGGAAGCTGCTTCAGTCTGCCCACGAGGGGTTAATTTCTGTTGTGCTAAAAGGAGTTAGCCTTTCAGCTAATGCTAAAACAGCATCTCAGTGATATATGCTGACTGTTCAAGGAGCTCATTGCTGCTGAATACAAACTGGCCTAATGCGTAAAAAGTTTCCATGGAAGTTTAGTGAAATACACAAATTTCAATCTGACTTAAAAACTACCTCACGCTAGAGCAAAACGTTTTTTTCATTAAAAAACAGTTTTTTTTAAATGGGCATGTTTCCATTATGAACATTTATTTTCATAATTCCAGTTTGGCTATTTTATGGTCAGTGGAAATGTAGCTAGTTTTGTGTCGTTCCCTTCAGTGTTTCTTGGTGCAGCGCCCCCACAGGCCAGGAGGGGAACAGGTTGGTTTAACTCCGAGCAGAGAGAAAGAACCACAGCAGCTGGAGATGCTGCAGATGTTAAATGTCTTGGTTCCCCAGGCACATCGAGGATACCGGACTATCATGTGTGAAAACACTCTTGTTCTAGTACCGCCGCTGACATCCATCTTTCCATCTAATGTTTCAAAGTTTTTAAGGTGGTGAAACTGAGACTTTGCTGCTTGAACTCCTCTGACTGTAAAAATAAACATTTGTCAGTCCTGACATTTCCTGGTTTTGTGTTTTAATGTATGATGGAGTGAAACATGTTTGTCCTCTTTGTGAATGAAACCATCTTGCTGTGACAAATATCTTGTGAAGGTGTTGACCTCTCATCGAGCTTTAGCCAGTCCAGCTCAGTGTTAATGTCTTCCTGCTGTTCAGAAGCATTCAGTCTCTGCAGCCCAGCCACACTGAGAGCTTTACAGCCTTAAAGGTCCCGGCTGCCTGCATACCGATGCCTCCCGGGTCACGCTGGAGCCGATCAGCCTCTGCTTTCTGCTGCTCCATTATTGATTGAGCTAAAAACGAGGAAAGGTCATTTTTAGATATGAAGCTTCTGGTACCAGAATGATGATGCGTTTACTGACTGCAGGAAATCAAAGTGTAATGATTATCATAGTGGAGCTAAAACACCATCAAAGACGGAGGAAGGAAGGCTGGATTATGCAGCTCTGCATCTGCATCAATCTTTGCTTCTTGTAATAAATGTACTTCTGAGTTTTTCTGTAGATTAGTCACCTTGATCCAGGGATTTATTCTTGATGATCTATTTCTGACTGCTGACGTTGGGGGGAGATGGCTCCTCAGGGTTACACCGAGGGTCTGTGTGGGACTATTTTTTCCCAGGCCAGCTGACAGGTGGCATGAGGCCCACTGGGGTAAAGGTCTGCTCCCATTCAGGTCTCAGTGAGGTTCTGTTTGGACTGAACAGTCTGTCCAGGAAATCCCACTGCAGTCCATTACAGGCCTATGAAAGATCTTCTACGCATTACCAGATTTTAATATAAACTCTGACCTTTACAGGGCTGTAAAAAAAAAAAAAAGTATTTCTCTTTTTTTGTCACCTTTTAAATGTTTCAGGTTCTTAGATAAAGGTTGAAATCTGATCAAAATGACCTGAATAAATACAGAAGTCAGTTTTTAAATGATGGTTTCCTTTTATTAAGAGAATAAAAATCTGTCCAAACCAATCTGAACCTGTGAAAAAGTAATCGCCTCCGTCTGGTATGAATTTACCTGAATAACATACATTTGAGTATCACCGTCACCATGGCGACGGGGGCGCGGTTACCGCAGCTCTGTGTCTCATTAGCATCAAACAAATAATTAAAGATTTTATCCAATTTCATGCAATGTTTTTAGGCTCTTGTGTCTCTGCTCTGTCTTCTCAAACCTCCAGTCATCTCAGACGGCTACACGGGTTCTGGTTCTGCTGGATGTTTCTTCCTGCGAACAGAAAAGTTTTCCTCTCCACTGTCGCTACATGCTTGTCCAAATGTTAATGAATGCAAATGTCAACATTTGTACCAAAACATAAATATAGTATCATAAATTACCTGTTTAGACAGTTTATTAGCAGTTTAGTTCCTCTTTAATATTTGATCCAGAAACCTTTGTTTCCCAGCAGTCAGTCGGTTCCTGTAGTTCTGGATCAGGTTTGCTGCAGCAGGGGTTCTGGTCCATACTGAGTTTCAGCTCCCTCCACAGATTTTTTTATGTTCATCTTGAAATGCTTCTGATGGCGCCCCTCCTTGGTGACGCCCCTGGCTGGGTGTTTGGGGACATCGTCTTGAATCGGACCGTGATACCGTGTTTCTGGTACAGCTGTAAATGTGACGCACGGCGATGGAAGCGGCTTCTCTGGTCCCACTGGGGTTTAATTTCTGCTTCAAACGATCTGGCTGGACGCTGGAAAAGACTGTTGTTATGCTAAAAGGAGTTAGCCTATCAGCGAAGCTATTCAAAACTAAACTAGCATCTCAATGCTAAACATGTAGCAGCTAATGCTAATGTCAGCATCCAGATTTCTAAAGAAGCTCCATGGATAATCAGAGAAACTCTGTAGAGATGAATGGATAGAAAAACACTTTGCTCCAACCTGAAGGTTGAAGATCCTGAAGAACAGATTAAAATCTATAAATGTCTTTGTTGTTCAGCTTCTATGGCTATTTATTTAACAATATGGCAACAAAATGGTTTTTGAATTGAAAATGCTGATGTGCAGGATGTTAATCGATGATGGCGGTGTTTGTTACTACGGTAACCTCCCAGGTAGTTCTGACCCCTGACCGTTCTCATGATCGGTGATGCTCCATCAGGTCAGCTCTTCCATGCCGTCCCGGTTTGAGGGAGACTGACAACCATCTTGAGTTTCTTCCATTTTTTAAAAATAACTTCACCAATAGTTAGGCGTACAGTTTTGTCTCTGGTGTCATTTGGCAGCTCTTTGGTCTTTACAGATTAAATATTCCCCCATGTTCATGGTCCTGCTGTATCAAGCACTGTTTCATCACACCGGACCGTATCGGCGGGTCATCACTGTCCAGGTGTTGATACGGTGTGCTTCGTTTTCCCTCTAACAGAACAGAGGATTTCCTTCTTTAGCCCTCTCCTCTGTCGGCCGGTCTCTTTCCAGCCCGAGGCTTTGATCCCTCCATTTCTAAAGACTTCATCTTCTGCAGGGTCAATGAAATACATATTTCAGTTTGACCTCCCGATTGTGTGGTTAAAAGTTTGCTTCCCAAGGCGGCGGTGGCGGCTCTGCTGCTATAGAGCTGCTGCCTTCTCAACAAAAATGGCTCACCCGGATTATCGAGCAAAATGCATTACTTCACCTCAGGCAGCTTTACGAACACACACACACACACACACACACACACACACACACGCTGCATCACATGAGCAGGAATGAAAGTTTTGCTTAACTGAAAGTTATTTCCTGAAGCTGTGTGCTGTGGAGCTGAATGATGCAGAGCCTGATGCATTTATGGATGTATGTGGAGAGGAATTTCCAATTTGGTCAGGTTTGGATTGAAGGATGCTCACGGAGCTTTTGTGCCATGTCTGTTGTTTGTTTTGTGTTGGCCGTTGTGATTGACAAGCTGCTATTAAAGGAAGTCCTTCTATGGAACGGTCGGTAGGAGCTGTATGGACGTGCCAGAGCTTGTGTGCTGCATGCTTGTTTGTGTGTTTGAGATTTGCTTTAAATGAAGTCTGACCTTCGCTGGAGGACATGCCTGCTTTGAAATGGCAAGGTGTTTATTGAAGTGGCCCCTTCTACGTCCATTGCAAGCTCCGGCAAATCACTATTCATAATGTGTAAACATTCAAGCGGCGTGCGGACAGCCAGGGGACCATGCGGCCTGTGGAAGATAAGAGTGTGAAATACTTCATTTCCTACTGGAAGCTTTGAGCCAATCTGTGCAATAAAACAATAGTTTTAAGTTTGAGCTCCTTCAATTAAAAAACTGGAGCTGAAAGGGTGAATTCACACCAACTCTGCTCACTCCACTTTGGATGTTTTCCCACTGATAGTTTGGCAGACTTGGTTATAACTACTGTAGTTCTTTCTCTCTGCTCTGAGTCAAGCCAACCTGTTCCCCTCCTGGCCTGTGGGGGCGCTGCACCAAGATCCACTGAAGGAAACGACACAAAAACCTCTGAAGAAACTGAGAGCAACTTCCTTCTTCACCAGATGGAAACAGATTTTAGTGTTGGAGGATTTCTCTGTAGTTGTTGGCTAAAGAGCAGGAGCCATTCCTCCTACTAGCGCTAGCATGTTTGATTTGGTTGGATTTACCCAGAATGCCCTGTGCTGTAGTCCACTTCCTGCTTTTGGAGCGGTCTCCAGGCACACATGCATTCAAACCGAACCCAGACTGAGGTTTGGAGGACCAGAGTTTGCTTTTTTTTGGTTTGATGATACATTCACACCTCCTCAAACGAACCGGACTTCCTACGCAGACAGACTGGAGTTGGGTTAAAGTGGACCGGACAGGGCTGGTCCTTAGCCTGCTTTTATCCAGCTCTAGTCCATCTGCCTAGAAAGTTCAGCTCAAAAAGTGAACTCTGGTCCGCCTCAGTCTGGGTTTAGACTTTAGCGAAAGACTCCATCTTGTTTCCATCTGCTGAAGAAGGAAGTTGCTCTCAGTGTCTTCAGAGGCTTTTGTGTCGTTTCCTTCAGTGGTTCTTGGTGCAGCGCCCCCACAGGCCAGGAGGGGAACAGGTTGGTTTGACTCAGAACCACAGCAGCTGGAGGTGGAGCAGATGGTGAAGTTCTGGTTCCAATTGAACCGGGTCGACCGGACCATCAGGAAGAAAATAGCCTAAGAATAGGGTTCAGGCTCATTGAAGCTATAAAATAAACGTAGAATAGTGCGTCATTTCATTCACCATGATCTGAGTTTTAGCTGAATGTCAGTTAGAAGCTGTTTTCTGTCCTTGCAGGACCTGAACGGTACTCTGAAGAGCCTGCTGTCCAAGTGGTTTGCTGTTGGTCTGCTCCGGCTGGAGAGAATCACCTGGCAGTCGCCCTGTGAGATCCTGCAGAAGATCAGCCAGTAAGACCCTTCATCCTCACTGCTCCTCCTGCTTAGCTATAGATTTGTAAAAATAGAAAAATGTTTTGGGCTGCTGCCCACCTGCACCAGGATGTCCAATCATTCTGACTGAATCTGAGTGACCAGTAATCCTCTGGACGCTGGAAAATTTCTCTCGCTTCTAATTTTGATGAGAACGTTGTGAATTTCATTGACAAAGCGCCACGTCAGTGGGTGAATCCCACTGAAATACAACCTGCCACAGTTGGGAGCAGCTACAGACCGGTTACTTACTAATTGAGGAAATAATGAAAGCCTTCGCTGCACCTGAACACGGAACAGATTTGGAGTTCCTGCTCCAAGAAAACTGTTAAATGGCTGCATTTTTCTAAACTCTTCCTGCATTTTCATCTGCCATCCACTAACTCTGCAATTAGCAGACTAGCAGCTCTACCAGCTGAGCCGCGGCACCGTGCGGAGGAAACGCCTGAACTCTGAGGCAAAGCCTGGTTTTAAACAACGGACTAAATGCGAGTCCTGAACTGGCTTCATATGTTGGCAGCACAGAGGATTGAAGTTCAGCCGCGTGTTTCCCTCTGAAGTTAAAGGAGTTTTAATTTATAGTCAGGCAGGAGTTTGCTACCTAAACCTGACTGGGTTTCTCTGCCAGGTACGAAGCGGTTCACCCAGTCAGGAACTGGACCGACCTGAAGCGCAGAGTGGGACCGTACCGGCGCTGCTACGCCTTCACACACGCCGCCATGCCGGGGGAACCGCTGGTGGTGCTGCACGTGGCGCTGACCGAGGACATTTCCGACAACATCCAGGTCAGAACCAGAACCAGAACAGACAACATCCAGGTCAGAACCAGAACCATTTCAGAACCAGAAGCGCACACACAGCAGTCCTCCTGACCACTAGGGGGAGTCTGAAGCAGGTGACATCATCACCTGCATAAATCTGCTGCTGTTCTTTAACAATGTTAGAGACATGAAGTGAAACACACATTTTCTTTGTTGCTCCAACTTTCTTCTGTTAAATCTGAAGGTTAAGACCTAAATACAATTTGTTTGTCTCCCCCTAGTGGTTCGGAGGACTTTGTGTTGTGGAGCGAGTTTGTAGCTTTTCATACTTGCTGCTGTTTTTGCTGTGATTTTCTGTTGAATTTGGGTTTTTTGTGTTTGTCTGTGTGAGCAGCTCGTTCCTTCGCGTTGGCACTCGTTGACCACCGTAAGTAAAGATGCAGCGGTGTGTGCTTTTTCTTCCCTCAGAGTATTGTTCGGGAATTTGCGACTCTTGATGCAGAGGAGGACATAAACAAGATCAATTCAGCCATTTTCTACTCCATCTCCTCCACCCAGGCCGGCCTGCAGGGCGTGGAGCTGGGCAACTACCTCATCAAGCGCGTGGTCCGGGAGCTGCAGGTGGGTAAAGGCGCTGCTGAGCGGAGCTGAGCCAACATTCACAGTCATTTATTACTTTATGCTGGTCTGTCACATTGAATCCCAATAAAATACACTGTGACCAAGTTTCAGGGGTATGAATACTTCTGCATTGTGTCAGGGCTGTTTGAGCGCTGTAAAGGTTTCTGGGTGTATAAACGTACATATTCCACATACAGGCTGAGCTGTTTCTTACTTTGGTGAAATCTAATCCATTCATCTCAATAAGCAGACAAGAGCCCTCCATGTTGGGCCGCCGCAGCTCGTTGTTTCATGATTGAAAATCCTAAATGCAACATCAGGAACCACTCAACCCAACAGATGGGGGAAGCACTTTGCAGCACAGCCTCATCAAAACCTGGTTTAAGCTCCTTCAAGTCTATTTATTCATGTGAGAAGACAGCTGCCAGCGGTTTACCTCCAGGCTGCGTTCATAATGGAAATATGACAGAGCAGACGGAGAGCCGCTTCCTGCTCAGAAACCAGACGGTCTCAGTTCAGGCTGTCCTCCAGCAGGTTGGTGGCATCAAATCTGCTTTTCAGCTCTTCTCTCCTTTTAGAATGAAGTGCTTTAAGTTTAAAGAGGGATGATTTGTTGAAAGTATTGGTTCATTAAACTCTGAGTTATTTTCCTGTTTTGATGGCGGCTGGTAGCGGCTGCAGAGGTCGCTGACCTTTCTGACGGCACAGACAGCTGTCATTACGGGAGCGGAGGACCTCCTGCTGTTCCGTCAGGCGGATTAATCATTCTGACGCTACAGAAGCTAATCTGAAGGAAGACAGAAGCCGCTTATCAGCATCTTTTGATGCCTGCACAAGGAAATCTACAAGGCAGAAAATTATGTTTACTTTTTATTATAAATAGCCTGCAGACAGGGACCTCAGAGACATGGCAGGCCGTCTCCAAGTTCCTTCTCATCAGCCATTTTATCTGAAGTCTGCTGAACTGAAAGCTTCACATTCTGAACACGACAGTAAGGTTGTGTTAATTCACCTAATCTAACATCTACAACAGAAATAATTTATTATTTCACCTCCAACGATTCTACGTGTCGGTCATCGTTAACGCATCATCGTTAACGCATCATCGTTATCGCATCACCGCATCATCGTTAACGCATCATCGCATCATCGTTAACGCATCATCGTTAACGCATCATCGTTATTGCATCATCGCATCATCGTTAACGCATCATCGCATCATCGTTAACGCATCATCGTTAACGCATCATCGTTATTGCATCATCGCATCATCGTTAACGCATCATCGCATCATCGTTAACGCATCATCGTTATCGCATCA